CTTTTTTTGTTATTTTCCACCTCTGGTTTTTCTCTGAGTGTTCGTCTTTTTGTTGTTGTCGGTCTCTTGGGGAGATTAAGCGTTGGAACTCGAACTCTCTTTTTGGTTGGAGAGAGCTGTGGCGTTTCCCTACTGCCCCGTCGCCATCTTGGTCCCCCCTCCGCATTGATCTTTCTAGTCTCTACAGTACTATTATGCAAACAACTGATAGCATTCAGATGAATATTTAAATGTTCTTGAAATTATTTCACATATATTTTCCCCCAGGTCATTGGTAAGATCATTGAGTGCATGGTCCTTATCCTCTCTGTTTTTCTTCACAATATCTAATTATAGTGCTAGGTATACAATAAACAGCCTGTGAATGTGATTATTGCTAACAGATATCCCAATTTACAAAGAGAAAGTATCATCACCATCGTATCTGATAAGAGCAAGTATCATTTATGAACACTTAGTGTGTGCCAAAGAATCTTAGGCACTGTCTACATATAACTTCATTTAATTCTCACAGCATATTCCCAGATGAAGGATGTCTGTAATATCTCCATTTAATACAGGGAGAAAATAGAAGCTAAGACAGGTTAAGTAACATGTGCAGGTTACACAGCCAGTAAGGATTTCTCATCAAAATCTGTCTCATCAGAGTCCTAGTTAGATAGCTCTAGAACAACTAGCTTTCATCCTCTAGAGAGAATAGAGAGTTTTGTACATAGTCTTTTAAAATATAGTCCTGAAAAACAAAAGTACACTGGGGAATTGAAGTTGAAATGTTGAAAATGCATACTTTGTACTCTTTCATTCCTCTTTGGTCATTCTAAATCCACTATTTTTTGTATCGCTTTGTGCACATCTGAAATTTGGTAAACTAATACTTGTGTCACTTTTTCCTCTCCTAGTTACTGACTACACTACTGGCAGAGTTGGTGCTCCACTTATTTGCTGTGAAATTAAGCTTAAAGACTGGCAGGAAGGTGAGAATTTTATGACAAGTTTTAGTGATTATATTTAAGAATGAAAACCATTGTGAGCTTCAAGAATTCCTTTTTGGGGGCTGGGAAGGTGGCTCAGTGGTAGAGCGCTTGCCTTGAGCTGAAGAGCTGAGGCATAGCGCCCAGGCCCAGAGTTCAGGCCCCATGACCAGATTCCAAAAAAGAATTCCATTTTTGAAGGCGTCTGTTTTTGTGAGGCATCTGATGATTCTTTATGATTGCCTTTTCCCTGTGCTTTTTCCCCCTCAGTAATACATGCAAGTTATCAAGAGAAAAAGAGAATGTCTAGATTCTAGACATGCTGAGGAATACTTTACCTTTAAGGCTAAAAAAAAAAACAATCTTAGGAGGTGCTTTCCCTGGGTTTGGAGAAGGTGAGGAGCATTTGAACCTCAACTTTGCTAGTATAATATAGTAAGGCTGACAAGGAAATCCCAGACCTTCATGTGACAGAGTGACTGATTGCACACCTAGGGGAATCAGTGTTGTGTATTTGTTGCCTCTAAGAAAGGCTTGCATTAGTCGAGACTCACCTGTCCAACAGTTTGTGTAGTTGATTTATTTTAATTTATTATTATTTTTATCACTTGGAGTAATTCTTTTGCATTTTTATCATTATTGTAAAGGTGATTTGCAGCTATGTAAGTGAGATAAAGAGTATATTTTATTAAACAATGTCACCCTTTCCCTTGTTCTCTCTCCCAGTTTTTCTCTCCCACCCTCATCTACAAGTTTGTATTCAACTTAGTGTCTTATAATTGATTTTTAGTGTGTACCTGCAGAGGCAAGTCACTTAGAGGAAATCTGCACCAAGTACACACGGGTTGTAGTCCTTATAAGCAAACATCTTCCTATGATGAATATAATATTGAAGATACTAAACATACATTGCCATAATGTGGATTATTCAATAAGTAGGGAGCCAATAGCCTAGCTGTGTGGACAAATGAAGAGTTATTGAAAACCTCAGGATTTAAAATGTGTTTACATTGTCATGGGACAAATGACTAAACTTTAAAGGTATCCAAGTTCTCTTGTGGAACATTTCCATTAAATTGCCCAAACTCCATGAAAGTAAGTGGGTCTTACCTAATATAAACATTTACGTTTTTAAAAGTGTTTCTTTGTAATTTTTTATCATATACATTATAGTCAATTCTCTATGAACAAATAAATATATCTTTCGAAAATCACTTTTCTTGATTTACTTATTTTGGGATTGGTTCTCAGTAGGCTATCTAGGTTACTCAAACTAAAAATTATATTTATAATTTAAGTACATTCCAAGAGTTTTCCACCTTCAGACTAAGTCCTCCCTTTTTTTCACTGAAAATCTGAAGAAAATAGAGGTACTGCATATATTTGAATTTGATCATAGCATCAAAGTTATTATATAGATGAGTAGTTAGGCACTGGCATTAGGGGAAAGTGTATAGGAAATCTTAGTGGAAATATTTTTTACTTTAATTTTTGTTTTCTCATTTCTGAGTGTTGCATATTAATATCATTTGAACAAATCATTTTGGGGCATATGTTTGGGATTTTTTTCCTTTCTATGAAAGATTTTTACATTGTTAAATAAGAATGATCCCAATGTTTAAATGCAGTGAGCTTCATTAAATAGAAATGAGTCATTTTAAATTTATAAGAACAGCTTATAGCTGGACGAATTTTGTATTTAAACCACTAGTGACATAAACCCAAATATATCAGTTTAGAAATTAGACTTTTGCATATTTTTCTTAAAGTGATCTTTATTCAACAATTAAGCTTGAGTAATGAAATAGTCTTGAATTATTTCAGTAATCAACTTTTTCAGTGTCAGAATTTAAGTCATGAATGACCACATGGAAAATTCATACAATTTCCCATAATTTCCCATAGCTTTCTCTACTCTCTTAATGGGCAAAGTATTTTATTATTTTGTGGGCAAAGTATTTTATTATTCAAGAGAGGAAAGCATAAAACGTTCACCAATGTCTACTTTTATGAATAGCACCAAATTATTATTGGAATGGCAGGAGCTTTGTGTCTGTCACACTTGTTCATTCTATTTGTCTGACCATGCAGATAAGCTTGGTCTTCAATGTGGGTAAGTAATATTAAATAAGCATAACAAATGTTAGAATAAACAACTGAGATATTAAGGTTGTGGAAGTAGCATATGAAGTAAATACTAAGGTAATGAGGAGACCAGGAGAAGCTAGAGTTCAAATTCAGGAGAGGCTACAGATCAAGTTGAAGAATGCTAGAGTTCAAGTTCAGGAGAGGCTAGAGTTCAAGGTGTTCAGGATAGAGTTCAAGAAATGAGGGAAGTTATATAGAGAAAAGTCAAGGATAACTAGCTTCTGCACTAACCCTTACCACACCAGTTGACATGCTGTTCTTCAGTACTTCCCTGTTATTTCACAGTAATGGTATTGCCTTTCTTGAGTGCTCCCTATCTCTTCTTGATTAAAATCTCCCTAGCAAAAGATCTATAATATGCTAATACCAATTTACTTATAACATCCTATGCATCACTTTCCTTGGGCATGATTTAATAGAGGTAAATTTTATCTTAAAACAACAACTGATTTGCTTTTGTGATTTCTAGGTGGTTATACAGTTCATGACAAGCCAAACCCCAGAGGTGAAATTGTAATTGGTGGGCAGAATATCTCCATGGGATATTTTAAAAATGAAGAGAAAACAGCTGAGGATTATTCTGTGGATGAAAATGGACAAAGGTGGTTTTGCACTGGTGATATTGGCGAATTCCATCCTGATGGATGTTTACAGATTATAGGTCAGTATATTTAGTTTTCTGTGAATTTACTTTCTGTATTATGGAATGTGAAATAAATATTGATTAGGTTCTCAGTAGGGTTGATGCTTCTGTTGATTCAAACTTTGAACAATTTATTTAACTTAGGCTTAAGCTTCTCTCTGTGTGAAATATACAATAATTAATCAGCAAAAAATACAAATAATGTAATAGATGGACAAGAACATTGAACAACGCAGTTCTCAGAAGAAATACAAGTGGCTAATAGATAGTATTCAACGCCCTTAGCCCTAAAGGAAACATAAGGCAAAAGTAGATTAAGATTTCATCTCACCACAATCAAAATTGCAATCTTCAAGAAAATAAACAGAAATAAATGCTGGTGAGCATGCAGAGGAAAAAGGGCCCCTCATATATTGTTGGTGGGAATATAAAGTAGTGCAACATTATAGAAATCAGTAGAGATTCCTCAAAACACCAAAAATAGACCTTCCATATGATCCTGCCTATACCACTATTGGACATATTTGAGGGAGCATAAACCTACAAGAAAGATTACCTGCATACCCGTGTTTATTTTGTAGCATTGTCACAATGGTAAAATGAACCAAGGTTCCAAACAACAGATGGATGGAGAAGACCTAGTGCATGTATGCCATTAAGTCATTTCCCAAGTATAAATGAAAATGAAAACATGTCATTTGAAAATGTTTGGTGAGGGGCTGGGAAGGTGGCTCAGTGGTAGAGCGCTTGCCTTGCATGCCTGAGGCCCTGGGTTCGATTCCTCAGCACCACATAAGCAAAAAGAAAAAAACCAGAAGTGGCGCTGTGGCTCAAGTGGTAGAGCACTAGCCTTGAGATAAAGAGCTGAGGGACAGCGCCCAGGCCCAGAGTTCAGGCCCCACTACCGGAACCCCCCCCCCAAAAAAAAAGAAAATGTTTGGTGAAGAACATCAAGTTGATAAGCCAGGCTCAAAAAGCCATATATCATGTTTTCATTCAAATGTGGAAGCTAGACCTAAAAAATATACATACATCTATACATGCAAATATATATATAAACATTCTAACTGGGATTATATAGGAGGGTGGAGGGTAAAGGGAGAGGGATAAAAAGATGAAAGGTAAATAATTTTAGAATACACTGCAACTATGTGTGAACACAGCATAAGGAATTGAATGAAAGCTGTTGATAAGTAGAGGATTGGGGGTGGGGAAAGAGAAAGTAATACAGGAGGTTATTCTGAGAAAAGTATAATATATGCATATCTGAAATACCTTAGTGAAATCCCTTGGTGCAGTTAATACATACTAAGAATTGAATGACAGGAAAGGAAAACAGGCACTAATAGAGAAGCGGGCACCAGTAGGTAGGAGAGGGAGGGCAAATGAAGAGAGTGAATGAAGATAGATATAGTTTATATGATTTATTTGCATGTATGGAAATAGAACAGTGAAACCTGTTGAAATTATTTAAAGAAGGGCGAGTGAGGGGTGAGAAGATTGATCAGGCTTGATCATTGTTTACATGTGTAAAAATGTTACAGTGACAGTCCACCACCCTGTACAACGAATGTAAGATAATAAAAAGAAACAATGATGTACTTCTTCAAAACTAGCCTGTTCTTCTGTGATCTGTCACTTTGGCATTGCTTTTTAAAATGAGACTTCAGAAGTAGACCTCTGCTCAAAAAGCAACTCAAAGTGACTACAAAGGAAACACTGTTCACTTTTAAACAGGAGAACAAATTTATTGTTAAAAGAAAAATTTGACTAGCTAATGTGGATCACTATGCAGGTCCTCTTGAGACATTCAGTCATAGTTCTAGTGATCCATATAATCTGTTCCTGGACTTTATAATGCCACAGAATGTAGTTAGAGAGTTTCTGGGGAAACTGGTTCTTTATAACTTTTGATCTGTTGGAGAAATTCTGTTCCCTCCTCCAAAAAACATGCTTCAATGGAGAACAAATGGACGTTTTCTTCTCTTTTTCGAGGGCCTTGTTCATGCTAGATGAATATATGAGTACCCGATGAGTAGATGAATGCATTACTAATCTCAGCCTCCAGCCCTCCTTGACTTTTCTCTCTCTCTCTCTGTGTGTGTGTGTGTGTGTGTGTGTGTGTGTGTGTGTGTGTGTTATGTGCGTTACTGTAGATTGACCCCAGGGCCTCACATAGGCCTTACATGGGCTGAGTAAGCTTTCTGAAACTGATCTATACCCCAAGCTCTCTTTTTGATTCTTTGCTTTTACTCACTATCTTTAGTTGTACAGAAGGGTTTCAGTTTCACATGTCAGTTTTTGAGTATAATGTATATTGCTCATCACCCCATCATTCTCTCCATCTCTCCTAATCCCACCCACTCCCTCAAGTTACCAGCTTCCCCTTTCATGTATATACATTGAATAGTATAACTGTATTTGCCTACCCTTTCCTCTCCATTTGTGTTTCCCCATTCCTCTTGACCTCCTCCCACTCTGTCAAAAGGGTCAAAGGTAGTATCTGTAGATGGAGTCCAAGCTATAGGTAGGAGGATCCATGCTCACAGAAAGGGTAGCTATCAAGCCAGCTAAGGAGTATTCAAACTGAGCCATCATCCTATGACATGCTTTTCTTCCCATTTTCCTTAGTGTATATTAATTACACAAAGCAGTTTTATTGTATTATTTTCATACATGCATGCAATATACTTTATTAAATTTAGTCCCTTTATTTTTTCTTATCCCCTTTGCCTTTAAGACACATTTTAATAGATTTGACCATTCTAATTTCATATATGCATGTTGAGCACTTCATTCATGTTCACTCCCTTTATGCTCTCCTTTTGCCTATCTTCTAGTTTTAACTCCCCACCAGTCCCTGCTTTACACTCCTGTTACTCATTTTTCAAGATCTAGATTCTGTATATGACAGAGTACATGTAGTAATAGTTTTTCTGAAAGTGACTTATTTTTGCTTTGCATAATCTCCAGTTTCATCCATTTCCCTGCAAATGGCATACATTTATTCTTATGTTTGAATAATACTCTATTATGTATGAAGGCCACATTTTGTTGATCCATTCATTAGTTGTAGGGCAGCTGGGCTATTTCCATAGCTTGGCTACTATGATAGTGCTGCAGTGAACATGGGTGAAAAGTGCCTCTATTGTGTCTCGGCTGGCATTCTTTCAGATATATGCTCAAGTGTTAATGCTTAATGGTAATTGCCTATGGTTTTCAGATTTCTATAAGGACTGTACTAATTCACATTGCCATCAAAGTATATAACACTTCCTGTTTTCCTGAATCCTCAGCAATATATATATATATTTTTGCTTTTATAATATCCATTCTGACTGGAGTGACATGGCTACGAATGTTAAGCATTTCTTCGTGTATTAATTAACCATGTGTGCTTCTTTTGAGAACTGCCTCAATTCATTTGTTTATTAATGGAATTATTTGTATTTTTTTCAGTGTTTGAGTTCCTTACACATTCTTGGTATTAATCCTTTCTTTAATGGGTACTGTGCAATTTTTTTCTCCCATTTTGTAGATTTTATTTTGATTCTGGCACATTTCTAAGCTTTGTAGAAGCTTTTAAATTTGATGCAGTCCACTTGTCAGTTCTTATTCTTATTTCCTGAGTTCTAGTCAGAAGGGTATTACTATGTCTACATCTTTAGGGATTTTCCCTATATTTTCTTGTAGTAGTTTTAAAATTTCAGACCCCCAACCTTTTGCCTTTTTTTTTTTTGCCTGCCTGCCTTCCCTCTTCCTCTTCCTCCTTTTCTTCTTTTGTCCCAAATACTCTCACTTGCTCAGCTTTCTTGCTTGGCTGGCACATTATCATTTGGGATATGCCTCCACCAAGCTTTTTGCTGGTTATTGTAGAATGGAGTTTCAAGAACTTTTCTCCCTGGGCTCGTTTTAAACTGTCCTTTAGAGTTCAGTGTACTCATTACTAGGATTACAGGCATGAGCCACTGGTGACTGTTAAATCTTTGGTACCCTCTGAATAGATAGATAGATAGATAGATAGATAGATAGATAGATAGATAGATAGATAGATAGATAGATAGATAGATAGATAGATAGATGGAGGGGGGGTTCGCTTTTCTACATGTGGCAGTTTTCCCAACACTATTTTTAAAAGAGGCTTTTTTCTTTAGCTTCTTTTTTGGTTTTGGCTCCTTTGTGGAAAGTCAGATAGCTGTAGCAATGTGTAATTTCTGGGTCTTCTATTCCATTTGTATGTGTTCATTTTTGTGCCAGTACTATGCTGGCTCTAGTTTAATTTGAAGTCAGGTATCATGATACCTCCAACATTGCTGTTTTTTTGTTCAGGATTACTTTGGCTATTCAGTGTCTTTTATGCTTCCATGAAGATTGTAGGATTCGTTTTTCTATTTCAATAAAGAATGACATTGGAATTATTTTTAAAAATATAGTCATCTTCACAGTATTAATATGACCATTTCATGAACATGGGAGGATTTCCATCTTTTAATGTCTTCATGAGTTCCTTTCTACAAGGTTTCATAGTTTGGATTGTAGAAATTTTTCACCCCTAGGGTTTTTCCTAGGTATTTAAATTTTTATGCTATTGTAAATAGAATCATTTTCCTCATTTCTTCCTCAGACTGATTATTGGTATATAGAAAAGTTACTTACATTTATATGCTGATTTTATATCCTACTAATTTGCTAAAAATAATAATCAGCTTTAAGGATTTACTTTATGAGACAATCTTTGAGGTTTTTTTAAGCATACCATTATATAATCTGCAGAGTTACTTTGAGCTCTTCTCTTCCTATTTCTACCTTCTCCATATCTTTTTGCAAGAACAGATTTTTGAACTCAGGACTTCATACTTTCTCCACTTACCTGCTCAGCTAATGCTCTACCTCTTGAGCCACACTTCTAGCCTAGGATATTTTTTTTGTTGTTTTGGAGATGGAGTTTCAAGGACTCTTCTGCCTAGATGGTGCAGAACTGTGATCATCTGGAACTTAGCCTCATGACTACCTGGGATTGTAGGCATGAACCCCTGGGACCCTGCTTTGTCTCTCTTTTATTTCTTTCTCTTGCCTTATTGTTCTGGCTAGGAATTCTAATACTATATTGGATAAGAGTGGGAAGACAGGACATTCTTGTCTCTTTCCTGATTTAAAGGAAATAATTTCAGATTTTCCCCATGTAGTATAATGTTGGCTATATGTTTATGATTTATAGCATTCTATTTTAATTTCTTCAGCTGTGCTAGACATTTCTTTTTTGGGGGAGAGGGATCTGTTTGTGGGGCCTGAACTCTGGGCCTGGGCGCTGTCCCTTAGCTCTTCAGCTCAAGGCTAGCGCTCTACCACTTGAGCCACAGCGCCACTTTCGGCTTTTTTTCTTTTTGCTTATGCGGTGCTGAGGAACCCAGGGCCTCATGCATGCAAGGCAAGTGCTCTACCACTGAGCCACCTTCCCAGCCCCATGTACTAGACATTTCTTAGGTCATTATCCTTGTAAAAAGGAAATGTTATATGGAAAGATGGGAATTAACATTTGTTAAATGTGCTCTATATGGCAGGCATGGTGTGACATCCCTATAAAGAGATAAGCATCATTATTTCTATTGATAAAAGCAAGGTCAGAGAGGTTAACCGACATGTATGGAATTGCACAGCTAGTACTGGGCAGACCTCCCATTCAAATCCAACACATCAAAATCCAGTTCCTTACATTAATTTTATTATGATAACTTAAAATGATACAGTATTTACTGGTATTGTAGCCCATGCCTATAATCCCACTGACACAGGATTCTGAGACAAGAAAATCTTGAGTTTGAGGCTAGTATGGACAAAGTTAGGGAGATCTTATCACATAGAGAATATCTAGTAAAATTATGGCATAGTATGCTCAAGGCTCAGGGATGAGATCCAATGCCACAGAAAGAATAAAGATGTTAAAGCTTTGGTCGTGAGTGTCACTTAGAATATACCTCTTTACTTAGGCAAGCATTATATGTAACAAGATTTTAAGAAATGTATCTTTGTAAATAAAAGGTTAATGCAGTGAGATTCAAAGACAATCAGAGCTGTACATACTTTCATGAAACAGACTGTATAGCTTAAATTTCTTCATGACTTACAGATCGTAAGAAAGACCTGGTGAAACTACAAGCTGGAGAATATGTTTCTCTTGGGAAAGTAGAGGCAGCACTGAAGAACTGTCCACTTATTGACAACATCTGTGCTTTTGCCAAAAGGTAACTTGCAGACATTGTGTTTCATATACTTACAGTGAAAGGAAAATTAGAAATGAATTTGGCTACATAGAAGCATAAGGGTAATATCAAACCCTTTGTTAGAACTTTCATCCAAATTAGGAAATTGTACATTTATTAATTTCTTGAATTCAACAATTTGAAGATTACTTGTACTAACTCAACCATTATAATGTTCGTTGGATACCTACTGTCTTGCTAAGTTATCAGTTTCACAGTTGTTTTGTTGAACATGCATAACAACTCTATACTTACCCAAAGTGATTTTCCAAAAAAAGTCACATAGCTAGTACATATTGAGGAAGTTTTATTTCTAAATCAAAACCTTAAGAGATTGAACCATTTTCTGTGTTACTATGGTTTTCTTAGTGTATTCTTTTTTTAAAAAATTATAATTGTGAGCTGTTGTCTCACACCTGTAATCCTAGCTACTCAGGAGGCTGAGATCTGAGGATTGTGATTCAAAGTCAGTCCAGGCAGGAAAATCCAATAAACGACCAAAAAGTCAGAAGTGAAGCTGTGGTTCAAGTGATAGAGCAGTAGATTTAAGGGGGAAAAAAAGCCCAAGGACAGTGCCCAGGCCCTGATTTCAAGCCCCAAGATAAGCATACACACACAGTCACAATTTTAGTTAAAATAAAAATCGTACCATCTTCAACATTTCAGTTGTGCCAAGTATATTTACATTGTTGAACAATCTACAGAATGTTTTCATCCTAGCAGACCTGAAACTTTGTCTATTAAACAGCTCTTCCTTTCCCCCTCCCATTGGCCCTTAGCTACCAACATTATACTCTTTCTTTTAAATTTTTATCAATTTATTTTCTTTTTAATTTTGCCTACTCTAAATAGATAAGAAAAATCACATAGTATTTATCTTCTTATAATTGGCTAATTTCAATTATGCTGTCAAGGTTTATCTGTGTTGTAACATTTGTCAGAATTCCTTTCTTAGGCTCAATAATATACCATTGTAATGTGCACACTATTGTTTTTATTTATAGGCTAAGGGGCATTCATGTTACTTCTGCCTCGGCTTTTTTAATAATGCTGCTGTGAACATGAGTGCACAAATAATTATTTAAGTCTACTTTCAATTATTTTGGGTAGTACCGTGATACAGAATTGCTAGATCATATAGTAATGTTATAGTTAATTTGTATTATTTTGGGGAAATACTGGGTTTTTGACTCAGGGCCTTGTGCTTACTGGACATGCACTCTTACCACTGAGCTACTCTATCCCTTTTTGCTTTTACGTTTTTTTTAAAAATATGATCTCATGTTTATTCCCAGATAAACCTGGACTATAATCCTCCTATTTATGCTTTTGACCATAGCTGCTGGGATGACAGACACATGCCCCCACTGCCCAGCTTTTACAGGTTGTGATAAGTGTCTCATAAACTTTTTCCCTGGGCTGGCATCAAATTTTGGTGTAGTTTCACTACATTAATCTCTGCTTTTGTTGCCTGTCCTTTGATGGCACATCTGAGACTAGTTGTCAAATCCATTGTCATTAAGCATTTCCCCTCTGTTTTCTTCTGGAAGTTGTATACTTTTAGCTCTTAAGTGTTTAGGTATTTGATGTAGTTTGAATTAATTCTTATATGTATTGTAAGGTATTGTTGAAGAAACTATCATTTTGCCATTAAGTATTGTTAACACTGCTGTTGAAGATCATTGGAGTATAGATGCAAGGGTTCATTTCTGAGCTTTCTCCTAGTCCATTAGTTTGTTTCTCTTTAAGTCAGTGCTTTGGGTTTTAGTCCTCAGTGAAATTTTAACAAATAAGAGAAATGCATATCTGTAGTTGTCTCTGCACTATGTCATTGGATAATATATGAATAAAAATTCTCAGTGTTTTAATTCCTATTTCATTTGCTAATTTTTTAGTGATCAGTCCTATGTGATCAGTTTTGTGGTTCCTAATCAGAAAAAGCTGACTCTTTTGGCACAACAGAAGGGTGTGGAGGGAACTTGGGTTGATATCTGCAATAATCCTGCTATGGAAGCTGAAATACTGAAAGAAATTCGAGAAGCTGCAAATGCCAGTGAGTATGTTTTTGTAAGGCTGCTGAGGTCCATAAAAGGCATCCAGTAATAATGTGTACATTAGACTCGACAAGATTTGTGCTAATAGTAAAATACAGGATTCAGGAAATCTACAATATAAGTATATTTAATGAGTTTCTATGTTGGAAAGATCCTTACATGCTTATAGTAGATATAGATCTTTACATCCTTATAGTACAACAAACTATTTTTTATTGCTTGTGACAGTATTTTTCCCAAGTGGGTATCTAGTCTGTGGAGAGATTTGAAATGTAAGTGTGCCAAGTAGAAACTCTTTAATAATAACTCTTTAATAATGTCTTAGCTATGGATATACTTTGTGTATGTACTTTGGCTCTATATATGGACTGTCTCAGATGAAACATATAGCTAATGAATGTGTGCCAGGCAGTATATAAGACACCAGGAATAGAATAGGAAATGAGACATATTTTTACTATCAAGGAACTTACCCAGTGAGAAGGACATAAAGCTAGACCACAGTCTTGATAAAATCAGGGATATGGACCAATAATCCTGGGACCACAAGTAAGATACTATGGACCCTATCTGGGAGATCGTGGAAAATTTCCTTGTAGAGATGTCACTTCAGGTAATTCTTAAGTATAAGTTAGAATTAACTAGAGAGGCTATTCTGAACTAAGGCATTAGTAGATAAGAGGTATACAAAAAGGAATAAGGAGTATAGTGTTAATAGTAAATACAAAGTAAGGCCATTTCCTAACATGGGTTTAGTCTTATAGGAAATGTGAAGCCATTGTCAGATTTGATGAGGTTAGTGATATAATCACATTTGCATTTCTGGTTAGATTCTTCACTCTGGAATCCATTTCAAAGGTGCATGGGAGGAAGTAGCACTGTGGCTCAAGTGGTAGAGCGCTTGCCTTGAGCTGAAGAGCTGAGGGATAGTGCCCAGGCTTAGAGTTCAAGCCCCACAACCAACCAAAAAAAAAAGGTGCATGTGAGAGGGGCAGACTGAAGCAGGAGAGATGTAGTAGATAGTTAACAAAGGTGGGAGTGCTGAAAACTCAAACCAGGGAATCAGGAAACATTTAGGAAGTAAAATTGGTTAATTTAGATGAGTACTTGGATAATATAAATAAGGAGCCCTAGATGGACAACCCTAGATCCATACTCAGATGATGGGGGAGATGCTACTACTGATTGAACTAGAAAAATACAGGAGGAAAAGACAGTTGTTATGAGAAAATGCAGAAATCACTTTGGGACATACATAGTGCCTATTAGATAATCTAAGCTAAAATATCCAGCAGGTGATTTTGTGTGTGTGTGTGTGTGTGTGTGTGTGTGTGTGTGTGTGTGTGTGTGTATAAATCCAAATTTTATGAGAGAGGCTTGAGTTGTACTATAGACTTGGGGATAGTTGAAACCATGCAATTAGATAGATGGACTGACCTTGGTAGAGAGTATAAAGTGAGAGCCAGAGGATGAGGGAAGGGGCCCTGGACAAAACTAATATTTAGGTCGTAGCTTTCCATGTTGTATCCCACTTGATCCCCAAGACTTGAATTCCCACTCAGCATAGATTGATTTTTACTTTTATTTATTTATTTAAATTTTACTATCTTGAAGTACTTGTTGTACAAAGGAGTTTACTGCTTTTAATCTATGACATTTGTCTCCATTTTTCTAAAGGAAATGCATGCTTATTATTTCTTGCCTTTTTCATCTGAGATAATATCAGTGGACTTCAGCTCATAGAAGATGTAGCTTTCTTGTATCTATACCACCTTTCATAATCTATAGTAAGATTTCACGTTTCATATCCATTTTTACATCATTGTGACTGAAAATATTTATGGCTGAGCCATACATTTTATGATTAGCATTCCTTTCTTAAAAAAAGATTTTTTTTAAGTTTTCTTGACTTTTTTTTTTCTTGGTACCTATTGTTAACTCTTCTTCCAGACTTTATTTTTTCCATTGGGGGGCTTGAATTCAGGGGCTGGGCACGGTCCCTGAGCTTTTTTGCTCAAGGCTAGCACTCTACCATATTGAGTAACAGCCCCACTTCCGTTTTTCTGGCAGTTAATTGGAGTAAAGAATCTTACGTATTTTCTTACCTGGGCTGGCTTTGAACCGGGATCATCTAATCTCAGCCTCCTGAAATAGCTAGGATTACAGGTATGAGCCACTAGTGATCAGGGTCTCTCCAGATTCTAAAAAAGATACAAAAAATATGAAATACAGCTAAGTGTACTTTTTCTTTATGTTTATTTTCTTGGGTACATCCTTCTTTAGAGTCACACCTGCTGTTGAAATTGGGGCTAGCTACACCTCCAGGCTTCCCTTCAGGTCATCCAGGGGATTTCCTTTGCCTCTCTCCTGTTTTGGATATCATTTCCTGGATCTCACTGTCTTGTTTTTTACTTCTTTGCTCACTCATCTAAGTAGATCACGTCCTTTCTACTATTTTCCTGAGATGTAATTTTTTTTAATTTGATTTTATTGTCAAGGTATTGTACAGAGAGATACATTTCTTGTCCAACATTGTTACCCTCCCCCCTCGTTTTTCTTCTACTTTCCTTTCCTCCGAATCCGCCCCTTCCGCAATTATAAAGTTCATTTCCAACATACTGTCTTGTGAGTATCACTGTTGCTTTGGTTCACCTTTTGACCTTTGTCTCCCCCTCAGATGTGCTTATGTGTCTGAATACACCTTGAATACACCTTGATTATATTTTCAGTATAGAGACATGACTTGGCATATTTTACAAGTCAAGATAGTAACTCATGTCTCCTTTACATTTTGCAATCTTACTTTTCTTGGATTTTAATTTTAATGCTGCTGGCTGAACAGTCTACTTGTATTCACACATTCATTTCTTTCTGCATGAATCACTCTCTCTTTCTAAGCTTTCAGAGTTATGTTAATGTCAGATGTTCTGATAGTTCTACTGATATGCGTTGGAGTAGGTAGGTCTTTAATCACTTACTGTTAGGGAGACTTGATGTGGATCCTTTCAATATGCAGATGTCTGTTATTCAGTTCTAGGAAATACTTATCTTCTCTATTCTTTTGCTTTTTCCCCCCATAGTCATCCTACATTCTAGATTCATCCATGTACTCTTTTTCTCTCTGTGTATGTGTGTTTAGAACAATTTTATATTTATTTTGAATCATCTGTTTTTATTGCCTAGGTTTATCTATTTTCTTTTGCTTTTCTTCTTGTCCTTTTTTATATTCTGGAAGAGCTCCTCAACTTTATCTTGTCTTATATCTACTGAATGTTAAAGAGTTCATTCATTTGGCTCAAACATAATTTCAGAGATTTAACCCAAAACTGTGTAAAAGTAGTCTAAAACAGTATAAAATTCTAGTAAAATCTGCCTAAAATACATCTTTTTAGCCATTCTCTTCATGTTTAAATGTAAGCATCATATACAGATGGTGTCAAAAGAATGAAAATCAATAGCTTCGGGGTAAGTTGGGCGGCTACTAGTGGCTATAAAAATTAGGCTATGCTGCCCCTGCAGATCATATTTCATAATGTTCAGGTTAATTCAGATAAAACGCTACGTGTGCCATTTATTTGTTTTTCCTTTCTTTAAGTGTTCATCTTTCTCATTTGTTAACAATTACTTTATTCTGTTTGTAGGGAACTGTGATGATCAATTGCTCTCTATAGCTTGTGGTACTAAATAACATATAGGAGTTTGCAAAATGAAATCCTAGAAGAAGCATCCCCCCCTTCATGTAAAGTAGCAGTTAAGTTAATGGAGGTTAAATATGGGGACAGTTAAACATATTCCAATTGAAATAATGTGTTTGCCTTTCCCAATTCTTAGTGCTTCTGGAATAGGATATATATATGGAAAGTGAAATGAAGTGAACATTTTGGAGCCAGATCTGTAGTTGAGAATTTAACTCATGCTGAGCTCCAGATAGAACTGGGAATAGTTACTTCAGACATCCTTGCAATGTATTAAGAGAAGCCTGATTAATTCAAGCAAGTTTCATCTTCTTGTGTTACTTAGGCATTATTTTTAGAAGCTAGTCCTAAGTAATATTTGAAAGATAAACTTCATATGCAGGGTTTTATTTTATTCTTACCTCATTTTAATGAAAAAAATCACCAATTGATCCAAGCTTTCATAAAATTCAGAGAACTACAAGACTAAGAACCTCCCTGAATTTGAATTCCTTGTCCTTTCCACTGACACCAAATTGTTTCTAAAGTCACCAAGGCTATTTAGTACTAGGTTTTAAACATGCAGATGTTTTGCTTCTGCACAATTATTATTTTAGAAAACTACACATAAAACAAAGGTCATATGCACATTAGCATTCCCATTAATGGGCCTTCAGAATTTTAAGTATAAACTTACATTAATGATAGATAACATGCAGAATATAATTTATGGATTAAGTTGTAAGAATTAAGCTACAATGATTGCATACCTTGTAGATTTCCTATGTCCTTATTTGTTTATACTTCTCCAACATGCACTGAGCTGCCTAATTCAAGTACAACTTATGCCAATACAATGTATTGGTCCTTAGAAGGGATTGAAATTCACAATACCCTCTTTGGGCCATATTTGAACATAATAATAGCTCATAAGAACAATAATTGTTTAGGGGTTCTATGTGTGTATTCAAGGCTCTTTTGGTAACCCTGTGGAAGGCAATGAAAAGAAACCAAGACCCTACTTTTATGGAGCTTGCTTTCCAGTGGGTGACACAAATACATAATATGCTGTAAAGGTGGTAAATGCTTTAAGCAATGCATAGTGTAAGAGGGTATAAAGGAAATAGGCAACTTCTCTTTTACCAAGTGATCCTCTTCTCTAAGGAGATGCTATTTGAGTAGACATGCAGATGAAGTGAAAAAACCATGCAGCTAAGATTAGAGATAATCCCAAGCAAAGGAAACAACACTGTCAAGCCTCTTGAGAGAAAAGTGTGGAGTGTGTGTGTGTGTGTGTGTGTGTGTGTGTGTATGTGTGTGTGTGTGTGTCTAAAATGATCCAACTAAAACAACTTGTACACAGTCTGAGAAATTTAAAACCAAATTCTAAGATAGTGGAATCATTAGTAACGATTTACATACTATTAAATAAGTTTGCTGCATCATCTAGATAAAGTCTACAAAATTCATGTTTTATTGATTACTCTTTTCTCTCCTCCTCCCTCTCCCTCCATGCCCTTTCTCCCTTTTGCCCCTTTTTCCCTTTCTCCTATCCCTTCTTTTCTCCTTTCAGTGAATTTGGAGCGATTTGAAATTCCAATTAAGGTTCGCTTAAGCCCAGAGCCATGGACCCCTGAAACTGGTTTGGTTACTGATGCTTTCAAACTGAAAAGGAAGGAACTGAGGAACCATTACCTCAAGGACATTGAGCGAATGTATGGGGGCAAATAAAATGTTGCTTTCTTATTTCCAGTTGCTCAGAAGGTGGCCCAGTGAATTTTTTTGGTTCTAGAGTTTAAGCCTTTGTTGAACTGTCTATTAGAATGTTAAGGTGTATCATTCTAAAGACATGGTAATTTTAAAAATAAACCAAAAGTGATTAAATTAGTTATAGAATCTACTTTTACTTAGTTTTGCATAGTTCTAGTGAAACAGAAATCGGAAAATTCTTTCCCTTTAGCTGTTATTAATTTTAGATCAGACACTGTTTTTAAAAATTAGCCTAAGATACAATTTTTTCATAAAGAAAAAGCATTTAATGTTGAACAAAATAAACTGAAGTTGGAGTAGAATGTAGTTTGAGAAAATTTGCAGCCTTCAGTGTCTATTGTCTTCCTCATATAGAAGTTAAAATAGTGAGCATGACAAATGTGTGTTATCACTACTCAAAGTGCTACAGGTCTTTAAATTCTCTTCCATCCATTTATCTTGAAGGGAAAATTCAGTCATAATATAATCTACACAGTCAAATAATACCTTAGAGGGTATTTTAAGTTCATACTATTACATAGATTAGACATAGAATCATTGTAAAAATTATTGTGAATATTTACAGTGCCTAAAGTAAGAACAAAACAACATATACATACCAAAAAATATCTAGTAATATTTTCAAAGTAAAATTGAACTGTTCTTTTGAAACTTTGAGATCCAAAATCAGTCATTGTAATTTCCTTGAAGAGGAAAGTACATTTTTTGAAAAATGCTTTCTGTATTTGTTTGAAGTGAAGGGTGTTAAGACCAGGAGGAAAATGCTAGAAAGGCAATGCAAATGTAACAAGAAGCATTTTCTGTTAGAAAAGCTGGTAAAATCATGCCATTTGGAATGATGACCCTTGTACAGCATTGAACCTGAGACAGCTTTAGACTTTGAGTTTACCCTTGCTAACAGATTGGTTTTCAAATGTATGTGTATGAAACTACATTTGTAATTCATGTTCTATTTGCTGTTACCGATTTGATTCTTGATCAGTCATTTGCATTTCAGAAAGCCTTTCTTTTTGCTTTAATTTTTACAAAGCGGGTTATGATGAATGACTTCCCAAAGTCTTGTTCAAACCTACGGGTGACTAATTTTCCTGGGTGAGTTTTGAGGAAGTTAAAGGGAAGAAAACACTGTTAATCACTTATCTTTTTCCTGTTTGTGAAGAGTTCAGAAATGGGAAATGCTGGATTTGGGATAAGGGCAGAGTTACTTGATAAAGGACTGAAGTGTGTGTAGTAACTTAGAGTGTGGGTTTCTTTTTAAATCTTATAATTAAAATCTGGGATTATAGTTCCCTGATAGTCACACTTGAACTCTAGTTACTATAAAAAGAAACAGAAGCATAAATTCTTAATACTGTTATTCTTTGCACTTTTTCGTAATCATTTTATATATACATATATATGTGTGTGTTGCTTACATTGCTTTGTACAAATGTGGGCCACCACTGCAGGAAAAATTCTTGTTGCTCTAAAATATTTATAAAGAAAATATTTAAATGTTATGTATATGGTGGTAATAATGAAAAATCATCTGGTATCTTTAGCAAGATTGAAGGTTTCTGTAATGATTTCTGTGCAGTGGTTTGCAAAGTACAATTTTAGGGGAGTTTTCCCTGAAGTTACGTATTAGTATTCTCATTCTTCCTAACTTGCCTTTGAAAAGTGAAAAACCATTATTATCAAGTTGACTACTATTCATTTTCTCCTATTCCTGGCCCGCTGTTTATCCTTTAAAGATAATTTTCTTAGACTTTTCCAATATGTGATTCTCCTATCTCCATTTGGAATGGTGATTTTAAACATATGAGTGCATACATACAATCTTATCTCAGACATCACCCTCATCTCCCGAAAGCTGGAACACTGCCAATGAATCTGTTGAACAGGTCCTTTTGAAACGCATAATTAAACATGTAAGGTTGGGTGCTGCTAATACTTTGCGAAATCCAAATATTGTTAAGGGACCAGGGAGATGCCACTACCCCCTGATTTTTTTTTCATCTAAAAAATCCATGTTTATGTAAGTGGAAATCTTTCCATATTCATAGTGACTTTTTAAGTATTTGAGCCTAAAGATTTTGATCTCACATTTTTATACCTGTTTAGATCATTCACAGTTATTATATGTCAGTCATCAAAGTTGTACTTATTAAATTTACTACGAGTATGTATATTTCTAAGTCAAACACTTGTGACTTTTGCTTTAATGAAAGTATCCTGCCTCTTTGATGTTTGTATTCATTTTTTTGCCTAAAATGGAGGTAGAATTATGTAACTTTTCAGAAATGAAATGCAAGCGATCAATTAAAAATACTCAAGAAGTGAAAGAGAATATACTGTTTTCTTTGATCTCAGATTGATTAGTAATTGTTGCTTATATTTTCCTGAGGGCCTATGACAAATGTTTCTAAGGTAGCAAGATGGGAACAGGTTAACAAAGGTAGTGAGGTGTTTTCAATTTGGAAAGAAATACTTCAATTTTTTAATGTAGTTACAAATTATGTATTCATATTTGTATCTTCTGTCCAAATACATGATTGCAGGATTGTTATGTAGATTTCATGTTTACTTTTGATGAAAAGCTTTGTTCTTGTTTTTAAGTTTGCACTCAAAAATATTGTTAAATAAATCCAACCCATGTTATCAAGCCTATTTATATCATTTTTGACAGGTTTTGTTTTGTTTTGTTTATTGGTGGTGTTTTGCAGAACTGAGGATTGAACTCCACTGAGCTAAATCCCCAACTGTCCAGTACCATTCTTTTTTGGTTTTAAAACATTTCACTTAAAGAAGTCCAAGGGCCTCTCTTGTTTAATCCTTTGAGATGCCATTGGGAAACAAAAGGCCAAGTGATCTCAGCACATTACAGACCATGGAGGTGAATTAGAAGCTGAAGATTCTGTCTGCAGGAACATGGAAGAGACAGAGACCCTTTTATGTTTCAGCTTTTGGGGAAGGCTTCCTTGAATATCTCTAGTCTGAACCCAATGCTGAAGGAGCAAAAGTGATTCTCATTAGATTCTGACTAGTAACAATGAGTATGCATTCATCCCCTACACAGACCTCACTAAGTGGAGTGACAACAGCAGGAACCTCATGGACCGTATGCTTGAGGTTACAGACCAGGGATCTCTAAGAGCTAGATACTGATGCCCCTGCCCTTGGAGTGGCCAAAGCACCTCTCTTATCCCAGGGGAACTTCTGTGTTATCCTTGTAGGCTAAGCAGTAAGAACTGTTGGAAAACACTATTTTATTTTAATTAATTAATTAATTTATTTTTGCCAGTCCTGGGCTTGAACTCTGGACCTAGGCACTATCCCTGAGCTTCTTTTGCTCAAGGCTAGCACTCTACCACTTGAGTCACAGTGCTACTTACAGCTTTTTCTGTGAAAGTGGTACTGAGAGATCAAACCCAGGGTTACATGCATGCAAGGCAAGCACTCTACCATTAAGCCACATTCCCAGCCCTTTATTTTAATTTTAGTGTAAAAGTGAAGTACAGAGGGTTACAATTACATAAGTTGGACATTGAGTAATTTCTTTTTGAACAGTTTTACCCCTCATTTGCTCCCAGTTTTTTCCATACTGGCCCCACTCCCCCCAAGATGGATACTTCATTTCCAACACAGTGTCTAGTGGGTATCACTGTTGTATTCGTTCACCTCACCTTTTCTCACACCATTTCTGTGCTTTCCCTGTTCCTTCTCAAATCAGATAAACTTATATAAGGTACAGAAATCAAAAAGAGCAACAAAAGAGGGAAAACGGGAAAAACAAAAAGTAAAATAAAAAACCTCGTTTACATTTCTTGGAGGTCATTTTGATAACATCATTTTATATAATCTTATGCCCATAGGTATTGAGTCCTTGTGATCCTCTCCTAAGAATATCCTCCTTTGTTCTCACTGTGAATGTTTAGAGTCCTGTGTTAATTTATCATTTCCAAGTGTGACTTTTTGTCTTTTTTTTTTTTTTACTATCCATTGGGTTTACTTATAGATTTATAAGCACATTGTAATTATTACAAATGGGGGGAGACATGCAACCTATGTTTCTTTGGGTCTGGCTTACTTCACTTAATATGATTTTTCCAAGTCTTTCCATTTCCTTATGAATGGAGCAACGTCATTCTTCCTGATCAAAGTATAGAATTCCACTGTGTATATATACTACATTTTCTTGATCCATTCATCCACTGAGGGGCATGATAAACTAAACTGCAACACGTGGTTGGAAAGCACTATTCTAGATGCATCCCTGATCTCAGAATGTGTTTGGCAACACATGACATGATCTGAATGATTTATTTTCCTATCTGCATTCTCAGATGGCCTCTTGTCAGTACTGTCATTCGTGTTCACTATTATTATATCTCTAATGCTTGCCAGTGTGCTGGCACATAATGGGGAAGTGTAAGCCTTGAAGGATAAGTATAACTTGGATAACATGAAAGCATTAGGGTATACAGAGGAGATGAGCAGTATGAACAGACTCAGCTCTGGTCATGGTGTGTTCTAGGCAATTCAGAGGGTAGCTAGGGTGCCCAGAATTTGTTCATGTTTTGAGGCAGTAGAAAATGATGAGGTTCCATCTTGTCTACTTAGCATAATGTTGAATAATAAGCCACTGAAGCATTACTGCTCATGAACAAAGTCAAAATTAAACCATACAGATGGTAGTTAACACAACTGGTCTTAATTTTCTTTTAGCATTGAATTTCAAGTCAGACCCTGTACTCGCCAAGTGAACAATTTCACTCATGACCTGGTGCCTGATTCCAATAGTTCCTAAATGTTCCCATATGATTTTCCAGCTCGGAAAACCTCACGGGAACCCCTGACACAACCGAGGCATAGGACTCTACCATCCTTGCTGATAGAAGCATGAAAGGAGGTGAACAGTTGTTTTCCACATGGAAAAAATGCCTATTCCCTGCTCATAACTCATCCTAGGGGGTCATCTCCTCAAGGAGATGTGCCCTGATTCTCAGAGATTGACTCAAATGCATTTTCTCTGGTTCCAGGATGCCATATGCTTGTTAATAATGAAGTAACAGCCATAACCTACACTACTGAGTATTTAATATGTTCTGGTGCTATACTAAGTACTTTCAAAGTTTCACCTCATTCAATCTTTGCCACAACACCCTATGGGAAGCACTGTTATGTCCATTTTGCAGATGATGAAACGGCTGTGCAGAAAAGTTGTGTGTCATATCTTGATAGCTTATAGTGGCCAGGGCAGAATCCTGATGAGGGTTTGTCTGAGGTGGAAGCTGATTATTTTTAAGCACTCTGCTCTGCTTTTGACCACCTAACAGCACCCTCACCATACTTTCTTGCAATGGTCTGGCTAGCATCTGCCTTTCTCTTGTTCCCATGAGAATGTTATCACCACTACAGCAGGAAGCTCTTAATTCCCAGCATCTAACATAACACATAGCTCAGAAACAGGTAATACAAAAAGGGCTGCAAAACATTCTGAATAAATAGAAACAATAAACTCAAGTATCCACCAGATGGGGCTATAGGAATCCAACATAAAAGTGCCTCCACCCTTCCCACATTTCCTACTCTGTTCCTACAGAACAGTCTAAGTAAATACATTTTTTGTTTTGTTTTTTCCCATTTTCTTGTGAAGACTGAATGGGAGAGACATTTTCAAGATAATATTCGGGCAGTAATTAACACAAGGTTGACAATGCTATTTATGACTATATATGTCTTAGTCCCAAAGAAATAGTTGAGCTTACTTAACCCTAATCTAAAACGATTTCTGCACTTTTTTTTTGGTTAATGTACACTTTAATTAGAGTTTTAGTAGAAGACAAGACTCAATCGATAAATCTCTGAGATTCATATGGAAATGAAAATCTTGCTGTATAGATCCAAAAATCCAAAAGCTATGATGACAAACTGAACTGTGAAATAGCTTCTTTTCCTTAAAGTGATCTGGGGAGTTATTTTTTTGTTTTGTTTTTTTTTAATTTTATTTGTGAACATACTGTACAGAGGGGTTACTATTACATGGGCAGGATAATGCATACTTTTCTTACCAAGCATTTCTGCACTTCGTTCTAAGATCAAGTGCTTTCCCAATCTTTAGCACCATTGAAAGTCTACAAATAAAATCCGAACTGCCTGAAACATGGAAGGAGGTCGTGCAGTGGAATGGAAAGGTTTCCTACCAAGGAGGCAGGCAGGAGCCTTGGATTTTGATGGCTTTGACACTTAAGGGGAGGTTTCTGGAAAGGCTTTTCCCTTACAGACCTCAGTGTTCCTAATCTATAAAAGGGCTGAGGAAGATTTCTGACTTGGAAGTCTGCTACTCTCTATACAAATGACATTAGACAGCATTGCTATCATACCATGGTAATACAGATCACAGACTCCTTGGAATCTCAACTTGGCCACCTACATGATTTTGGGCAAGTTACTTAACAATCAAATCTCAGTTTTCTCATCTCTATAATGTACTTTCCATACAGCCTCGTCATTTAGGACTGAGACAATGCATGCAAAGGGCATAATCCATTACATGGCGCACATAAAATTTCAGTAAATGTGATTATACCACAGAGCTGGTTCTCATATTTTAGCAATTTTCTAGCATTTGGATGTACATTTATTACTCATCAGAAATGGGTTGTTTAAGAAGACAGGCTTTATCATTTTTTATGCTGATCCTAGGACTTGAACTAAGAATCTGAGTGCTCAAGAATATTGCTCAACTGAGCCACAGCTCTACTTCCAGCTTTTTGTTAGTTAATTGGAATCTCACAATGTTCCTAGTCAGGCTGGCTTCAAATTGTGATCCTAAGATCTCAGCCTCCTGGTAAGTTCCGGGAAGATGGCGGAGGAGAAGCTGGAATCGGAACAAGCTCTCGCATAGAAAGCAGTTTTAGAGTTCCAGTGAACAGTCCTAAGCCAGAGAATCACACCAAGTGTGCCATCACAGGACAGAGAGTTAAGCAAGAGAGGGGAAGCCAAGGCAAGGAGACACATCTGAGCACTTGCCAGCAGCCGTGGCGGCGGCGGCGGCAGGATCGTGGCGGCGACCGCAGGGCACCCAAACCTGAGCCACAGAGAGTCCGGGACGAAGGAGCCAGACGCAGCGGGCGAGCGGATTCTACTCAACACCAGCAAGAACCGACAAGGAGCGGACATCTTCATTCTGCAGTTTGCAGACCAGAGATGACCCAGGATCCAAGACTCAGCGTGAGTAGAAGCCTGACATCCTCACTCCTTCTCAGGGAACAGAGGAGTGAAGGCCACCCCTCCCCCCCCAGCACCGATGATCTCCATCTTGGATACCGACAAAGCTCGGAGGAACTGCCAGCTCCAACTCAGGCCTTGGAATAAAATGAGTCATTTAGCAGGTCACAAGAACTTAACGGCGAAGTGACCTGCCAGACTCAGCTCCATCCAGGGAAAAGTCACCCAGATAAGGTGCCAGCCATTGGAGTGGCTTTCCTCACTGGGTAACCAGAGCCAGAGGCTGCCCCTCCCTCTAGCAGCCTCCACAATCAATTGAAATTCAGTAAACAGAAACCCTGAGAATGGCTCCAGGCTGGGCTCTGTGAGTTTTTCACAAAATAGCCCCAGGGAAAAGCTACTGTTTGTTG